GAAATGACACGGTCGGTTATTCTGGATAACCTTGATCAGGTTTGGAAAGGTGTATGTAGACAGGAGCTCGATAAAAAACGGTTGTGGTGCAGGAATTATTTATGAGTCACCTGAGGGGGACAAATTTGAATATGCACTACGGTTCAAGTTTCAGGCCTTAAATAACGAGGCAGAATATGAAGCCTTGCTAGCCGGAATCCGCATGTGTAAGGCAGCAAGGGCAACAAAAATTGACGCATTCTCTGATTCACAGTTGGTCGTAAGCCAGTATCAGGGTCACTACAAAGCTACCCATCTGACAATAATCAAATACCTCCAAGCAGTCAAAGAAGAGGCTTGGACACTTGAAGAGTTTCATCTAAGTCAAGTGCCTAGGTTTGGTAACAACCCAGATACCTTGTCCAAATTGGCATCTTCCGCCTGATGTGACACGCCTCGGTTAGTATTTTGGGAATTTCTTGAAAAAAGAAGCATATATGAAGAGCCCATTGGAATCCTTGACTTAAGCTCTACCTGGATGGATGGAATCTAGGCTAATCTCACAAATGGCACGCTCCCGGATTCACCACATGAGGCAACCGTCATGAAGAAATGAGCTAAAAACTTTGAGATGAGAAATGGAGAACTCTTCAAAGCATGGTTTTTGAAACCTCTTCAAAGCATGGTCAGTACAAAGCTACCCATCCGGCAATGATCAAATACCTCCAAGCAGTAAAAGAAGAGATTTGGACGCTTGAAGAGTTTGATCTAAGTCAAGTGCCTAGGTTTGGTAACAACCAGGCAGATGCCTTGTCCAAATTGGCATCTTCCGCCTGATGTGACATGCCTCGGTTAGTATTTTGGGAAGTTCTTGAAAAAAGAAGCATATATGAAGAGCCAATTGGAATCCTTGACTGAAGCTCTACCTGTATGGATGGCATCCGGGCTTATCTCATAAATGGCACGCTCCCGGATTTACCACAAGAGGCAGCCATCATGAAGAAATAAGCTAAAAACTTTGAGATGAGAAATGGAGAACTCTTCAAAGCATCGTTTTTGAAACCTTTTTTGAAGTGTGTTACCCCAGAAAAGGAGAACATCATCACCCGGTTTGGGGTACCTATGTCTATTGTGTTTGATAATGGCCCTCAATTTGAAATGCCTCAACTCAAAACTTGGTTAGGAGATCAAGGTATCTAAATTATTTTGCAACAGTAGGCCCACCCCAAGCAAACGACCAAGTTGAAGCCTTCAACAAACTCATCTCAGACGATATCAAGAAGAAAATTGAAAGAGCTGGTGGCTTATGGGATGAATAACTATTGCATGTCCTATGGGCCATCCAGACAACTACAAAAGGGGAAACGGGTGAAACTCATTTTTCATGGTATACGGTGCTGAAGACTTCTTGCCCATCGAGCATTATGAGCCGACTCTACGAGTCATGCTTTATGATGAAGAGGCAAAATGGGAGGCCATGCGGCTAGCAATGGACTCACTCCCCGAACGCAGGGACAATGCTGCCTTGTGACATGAGATTTACCGTCTGAGAATGACTCGTGCCTATAAAAAGATAGTGCACAGACGACCCTTGAAAGTTGGAGACTTTGTGTTACGGAAAATGGAAGCAACCGGTAGGGCCAATGAGCTTGGAAAGCTAACTCCTAATTGGGAAGGCCCCTACCGGATCTATGATGAAGTTAGGAATGGCACCTACCGCCTGGAAACTCCAGACAAAAAACGCCTGCCTAGAACTTGGAATGTAGATAACTTAAAAAAGTACTACTTTTGAGGGTTGTAAATTTTTTGTAAACAAGAAGTCTATCACTGAAAAGATGCTTTTTGTTTCATTTACATTACTATTTTTGTTTATACCCCATCTCGGCAATGCACAGACGGACTTTTAATGTTTACTTTAAAAAGTTAAGTTTGAAACTTGACACCAAAACAAACTAAGCACAAAAAGGTTTAGTGGCTACACAACTAGTCTTGATTAAGACGTGAGGCCTACGGCCAGATGGTTGCTCATTTTACAAAATTTCCTGTTCTAGTATGAAACTTGGCGTCTAGCGACACCCCTCCGGGTGCAATAGTTTAAAAAATTCCCCCCTACGCACACTCAAATCATATAAGGCGTTAGTTTGGAAAGCGTTATGTTGGTAGGAAGCGTACATACCTTGCATGCAAAGTTGCATGCTTTCCATTTGAGCTCTCATGCTCGCCATGTCTTGTTGGAAGTCGGGTTGTTGTTGTTGTTGCCTTCGTCTTCTCCCATGTTGTTGTTGTTGTTTTTGTTCCTCTACTTCATCCTCCTCTTCTCCTTCCATTCCTATCTCCTCATCCTCCCCAAACACCTCCTCTAAATCCACCGCTACATTGTTGGAGAGGACTCCCGAGTCCTTCCTCACCCACAAAGGGTGTGCAGCTCCCTCTCTTGTGTGGGAGGTGTACTCCGGCCTTAGGAGGAAACAATGGTGCTTGTGCGATACAAGGAGACTCCTAACAATCTCGTCCCCTTTGATCCCCTTGATGAATTACCTTGTCTTGAGTTGCTTCTTATCAAGCAATATATCACTCCCATCCCCTTTCCCTACTATGGTGCATGAGCGCAACTTCTCCTCATGGCCACACCTTACGGCCAACCTAGTCACCATAGCTTCACAATGAATCTCCCCCCTCTTGTTTCTCGAGACAATGGCCTCGATGCATTGGGTGAAGATAAATCCCAAGTTAACTCTATGCCCAAAATCCGGCCTAGATGCAAGCTAAAGAATCCGAATTACTTCCAAAGTTATCTTCCCCAAGTATTTCTTGTTGAAAACCATGTACCCAAGTATACGGTGAAGCAATGTTAAAGCCTGGTGCATGATCTCACTAGCCAAGGAATAATTTGCATCAAAATCGTTGCTCCGGGAGATTTGTTTCCACCATTGACGGGGGTTGTAATCCGAAGGTTGGACATATTTGGGTAAGAGGATATCATCATTGGGGTTGAGGCCGACGTATTCATTAAATTTGTGGAGGGACATGGTCTCCTTTTTGTTAAAGAGTTGGAAGGAGACGGAGACGTTGTTGTTTCCGGAGGTGTGCTTCTTAAAGGATGCGTGAAACTCAAGGGGGGGTTCTCGATATGTGTTGTAGGCCTTTGAGAAGAAATCGGTGAGTCCTAGATTGTTGAAAAAGAACCAACAATCTTTGTCAAATCCAAGCTTGGTTGTTATGGGTTGATGGTAGTGTTTGGTGGGAAGGAGTGTTCGTGATTGGAGGGCATCAAAATAGGTTTTATGGTTTCTATTTAAGAATTTGGTTGGAGGCAAAGGTGGTGGGGGTACCACATTTTGAGGGGTTTGGGAAGATGAACCTCGTGGCTCATTTCCACTCTTTCTCTTCTTAGAACTAGTTCCAACCTCCATTTTTTTCTTTCTTCTTCTCAAGAAACAATACTTGCAAATACCTTACTCCGAATCAACCAAGCACCACAAGTAATACAAAGCAACCACCACAAGCAATATACTCTTCAACACAAAACAACACAAGTTATCCAAGAACACAACAAAAAATATATCCAATTACCAACTCACAACAACAATCAACCAAAAACTAGAGCAAAATTAACAACAAAATTCACCAAGCAAGCATGAAAATTCATTCAACAAAAATCACAAAATCAAGTAAGAAATTCATCCAAAATTTCATAGAAGTTAAATAAAACTAGTAAGGAGTAGATTATACCAACTATAAAGCAAAGAATCCACTCCAACTAGCCTCCAAGAACAAGATCTCCAAAGGTGCTTCAAAGAGTAATAATGGTAGAAATTTGATTTTTGTGAATTTTTTATGATGGAGATTGAAAATTGTTGATGAATTTGTTGTTTTGTGAAGGAAATTTGTGGATTTTGGGATGAAAATGAAGGAATTTTGATGAGACTTAGTAGTTAGGGTTGGGGTTTTGGGGGTTTTTAGAGAGAGAGTGAGTATGAGAGAAGAGAGGTGCGAAAATGATGAAAAAAAGAAACATGGGGCTGCTAAGTACCCAGCGGGCCGCGCCCGCGGCAGCAAGGCCGCACCCGCGGGTACTGAGACTGCCGTGCGCGCGACTTCAGGTGCCGCGCCTTCTACACGGGCACGGATGGGCATCTACGAAAAGATTTGCCTTCTTCAAATTTCCTGAGCCGCACCCTCTCCTTCAAATGCTGCGCCCGCGGGCTCTCGAAAAGGGCTCTCCTTGGGCGTGGCTTCACACCTTCTTTGCACATTGAATTTTTGTTCTTCTTCCTCTCTTAATTCAAACATAGCTTAATAAACACCATCATATGGCCTCCAATTCCCAACCATGTATGCACTACGGGCTCAAGTACCTACATTTAGAGAACAAAAGCCATTATATAAAAGGAAAAACAACCAAAACGACCAAAATAAAGAAAAATAGAGAAGAAAAGAGTCAAGAACTCGAGTTGCCTCCCGAAAGCGCTTTTGGTTAACGTCGTTAGCTCAACGTTCCTTGAGCTAATCAAGGAGGTTTAAAATGACGATGCACATCAAGAAGAGACACAAAAATTGGTTCATCACTTGGGAATCCTTCGTAGTAGGGCTTGAGCCGGTGGCCGTTCACTTTGAATGGAGAATGCCCGTCTTGGGAAATCTCATAAGCGCCATATGGGAACACCTCCGTGATAATGTATGGCCCACTCCACCTTGACCTAAGGTTGCCCGGGAAAAGCTTCAAGTAGGAATTGAATAAGTGGACTTTTGGGCCTTTGACAAATTCTTTCTTGACAATTTGAGCGTCGTGCCATGCCTTAGTCCGTGCCTTGTACATGCTTGCGGTATTGTAAGCATTCATCCTCAATTCCTCTAACTCATGTAGCTCGATAAGCCTTTGCTCACCAGCAATGTGGAGGTCAAAGTTGATTTGCTAGATCGCCCAATGGGTTCGATGCTCCATCTATACGGGCAAGTGACAATTTTTCCCATAAACAAGCTTATAGGGAGTGGTTCCTATTGGAGTTTTGAAGGCGGTCCTATACGCCCAAAGAGTCGATGAGCTTAGAAGACCAATCCTTCCTTGTTCTAGCAACCGTCTTCTCCAAGATCACCTTGAGCTCCCTATTGGTGATCTCCGCTTCACCACACGTTTGAGGGTGGTAAGCAAGCCCCCGCTTATGAGACACTCTATACCTATCAAGAAGTCGAACGAAGGTGTGGTGCTTCAAATATGACCCCCCATCACTAATTATGGCTCTTGGAACACCAAATATTGGGAAAATCACCTTCTTGAAGAGATTAACCACTACCTTAGAATCATTCGTAGGGGAAGCCACGGCCTCCGCCCACTTAGGACATAGTCAACGGCAACCAAAATATACTTGTTCCCATGTGAAGAAATAAAAGGGCCTATGAAATCTATAGCCCACACATCAAAAACTTCAAGCTCAAGGATGGGGTTTTGCGGCATTTCATCCCTCCTAGAAATATTCCCCATCCGTTGACATCTATCACAGGTCATAACAAAAATCCAAGCATCGTTGAATAGAGAAGGCCAAAAGAGCATAGATTGTGGATCCTTTGTGGCGGTCTTTTGAGCACTCATATGCCCACCAACAGGAGAAGAGTGGCACATATGGAGAACACTTTTAACCTCGACGTTGGGGACGCATCTCCTTAACAAACCATCAACCCCTCTCTTCAATAAAATAGGATCATCCCAAATGTATCTCTTGGCCTCATGCTTAAGTCTTCGAAGTTGTTGTGAAGTGAAATCCGGAAGTTCTACACTACAAACCAAATAATTCACAATATCCGCATACCATGGTTCCGACTTCACCTCATGGACATATAGCAAATCATCCCTTAGAGCATCCTCTATTGGCAAACCATCATCTTCAAACCTTGCATCGCCCAACCTTGAAAGGTGATCCGCCACCACATTCTTGGCTCCCTTCTTGTCTCTCATCTCATAATCAAAGTCTTGGAGAACTAAAAACCATTTCAACAACCTCGGTTTAGCTTCCTTCTTTCCTATCAAATGTTTGAGAGCCGAGTAGTTGGTATACAGAATTGTCTTAGAACCAATGAGGTAGGTTCTAAACTTCTCAAATGACTGAATAACCGCTAAGAACTCCTTCTCGGTGGTTGTGTAGTTTCGTTGGGCATCATTGAGAGTTTTAGACAAATAGTGTATGACATGGAGTTTCCCATCCTTTCGTTGCCCAAGAACCGATCAATAGCCTCGTCGATTGCATCGCACATGAGTTCAAATGGAAGAGACCAATCCGGACTTTGGACAATAGGAGCGGTGCAAAGTGCTTCTTTCAACCTACAAAAGGACTCTAAACAAGCATCATCAAACACAAACTCCTTCTCTTGTTGAAATAGGGATGTGAGAGGCTTAGCAATCAATGAAAAATCTTTTATAAAGCACCGATAGAATCCGGCATAGCCGAGAAAAGATCTCACTTCGCTCACATTGGTGGGAGGAGGAAGATTCTCAATGACCTCCACCTTGGCTCTATCTACCTCAATGTCGGCATGGGAAATTTTGTGCCCAAAAACAATTCCACTTTCCACCATAAAGTGGCACTTTTCCCAATTCAACACGAGGTTCGCTCTCTCACATCTTTCTGCGAGATAAATTGGATAGACAATCTTCATAGGTGGCTCCTCCAACGGAGAAGTCATCATAGGTGGCTCCTCCAATGGAGAAGTCATCCATGAAGACTTTTATCTCATCCTCAATCATATCACTAAAAATTGACATCATGCAACGTTGGAATGTTGCGGGGCATTACAAAGCCCAAAAGGCATCCTACGATACGCATAAGTACCGTAGGGTATGTGAACGTCGTCTTCTCTTAATCCTTGGGGTCAATCGGGATTTTGAAAAATCCCGAGTAACCATCAAGGAAACAATAGAAGGAATGCTTTATAAGCCTTTCGAACATTTGATCAATGAATGGTAGTGGAAAATGATCTTTGCATGTACTTGTGTTAAGTTGGCGATAGTCAATACACATGCGCCAACCGGTAACAAGCCTAGTAGGAACTAGTTGATCATGATCATTTTTCACTACCGTCATGCCCCCTTTCTAAGGCACAACTTGAGCAGGAGATACCCAATCACTATAAGCGATTAGGTAGATAATTCCCGCATCAAGAAGCTTAGCCACTTCCCTCCGCACAACCTCTTGCATGGAAGGGTTAAGCTTTCTTTGCCTTTGTCTAACGGGTTTGGCATCTCCCTCTAGATCAATTTTGTGCATGCATAAATATGGACTTATAACTTTGATATCATCAGTGGTATAACCCAAAGCTTTCTTGTGTTTTCTCAATACATTGATCAAGAGGGAGGTTTGCTCCTCCGTTAGGTTAGAATTGACAATCACGGGGAAAGACTTATCGGAACCAAGAAATGCATATCTCAAGCTAAAAGGTAGAGGTTTCAAGTCTAACTTTGGTGCTCCCTTACCATTGGGGCTTTCTTCTCTTTCTTCAACTTGAAAGAGGTCATGAATGTAAGGAGCCTCTTCTTCCATGCTCGCATCCTTGCACTCCCTCTTGCTTTCCTCAAGCAAATCCTCATAGAATTGTATGTCTTCTTTGTGAGTACCTATCTTGGATTCATTTAACAACACACTTTCAAGAGGATCATTAGTAGCATGAAAGTGGGAGCGAGAAAATTCATTAAGCACGGTATCAAGAACATCTACTCTAAAGCATTCACCACTTGAGGAGGATTGTTGCATGACACTATTCAAATCAAATTCAATGGAATCATTGTCAATTTTCAAGGATATCTTACCCTCCTTCACATCGATGATAGCTCTAGAAGTAGCTAGAATTGGTCTACCCAAAATTATAAGAATCCTCTCGTCCTCATCCATCTCTAGCACATAGAAATCAACGAGAAAGGTGAACTTTCCTACCCTAAGGGGAATGTCCTCAACCTTGCCCATGAGGAACTAAATGGAACGGTCCGCTAGTTGGAGAGTTATGTTAGTGGGGGAGAGGGTTCCTACACTAAGATTTTGGTAGACGGAATAGGGCATGAGAATGACACTTGCTCCTAAATCACACAAGGCTTTATCAAACTCAATTCCATTAATAGAACAAGGGATGGAGAAGTACCCGGATCTTTCAATTTGGTAGGAAGTTTGTTGGAAAGAATTGTACTACAATTGGCGGTCAAGCTCACCGTTTCAACTTCTTTCTCCCACTCAAAAGGTCTTTCAAGAATTTAGAATAGTGGGGCATTTACTTCATAGCATCAACAAAAGGAACGGAAACATCCAAATTCATAATGACTTCCAAAAACTTCCCAAATTGGGCATTAAGTTTAGCTCTCACGAATCGTTGTGGAAAGGGTAGCTTCTCCTCTCTAGGTTGGCAATTTAGGGGAAAGGGGGTGGCTTATTTTTCCTTTGGCACCTCAACATCTTTTTCCTTCTCAACACTAAATGGCTCATTGGTTCTCTCACCCTCATTCTCTAACTCCACCTCCTCTTGGGGTTCTTTCTCAACTATAGGGTAACTCCCTACTACCTTCCCACTCCTAGTTGTAATAGGATACAAAGGTTTTGGGTTGACTCCTTCACTTGGAATGTGAGAAGAAGAAGAAGAAGAAGAAGAAGAAGAAGAAGAAGAAGAAAGAAGAAGAAGAAGAAGAAGAAGAAGAAGAAGAAGAAGAAGAAGAAGAAGAAGAAGAAGAAGAAAAAGTAGTAGTAGTAGTAGAAGTAGAAAAAGAAGAAGAAGAAGAAGAAGAAGAAGAAGAAGAAGAAGAAGAAGAAGAAGAAGAAGAAGAAGAAGAAGAAGAAGAAGAAGAAGAAGAAGAAGAAGAAGAAGAAAAGGTGAATTAGATGCAAGTTTAGCAATTTGGGTCTCAAGCATTTTCATATGAACATTGGTTCGCTTTTTATCCTCCTCATATCTCCTTTGTTCCTCCTCATGCCTCTTTTGATCCTCCTCACGCAATTCCAATAGAGCATCTAACTTAGCCATCATGGGATCATTTGGAGGGGCTTCAAGTTGAAGAGGTTGTTGAGGTGGAGGAAGTTGGGGGTTGATGGAAACTCGAAGGCCTATTAGTTTGGTCATAGTTAGAAACATATTGAACCCTATTGCCTCCGCTGCCTTGGTTAGGAACTTTGCTTTTTTTATTGTTTCCCATGTTACCTTGATCACAAAAATTTTGATTTTGATGGTCATGGTATCGGGAATTAGGTTGTTGGTTTTGATTACCATACCCACTTTGGTTAGGGTAGCCTCTTCCATTGAAATTGGAAGGGCCTCCCCCACCACGGTATTGGTTATCATAACCACCACCACTTTGGTTCCAACCACGGTTTCCACCTTGATTCCAATTCCCCATTTGATTGGAGTTTGGCCTCCAGTTCCCTATATTCCCCATTCCAGGAGCAAAATTCATAGCATTGGCATTTTCCATATTATTTCATGTTCATGGGGAAGGGGTTGAAATTCACAAGCATATACACAATGAGAGGTATCATGTTCATAAGTTTAACAATTAGAACAAAACATGCATCATTGGGGCATTTTATTGTAAGAAGAGGGGGAGGAAGTATCCATACAATTTCCTCCCTTGAAGGGGAGGAATTACCATGAGGATTGGACCTTTCTTTCATCAATTCATCCATTTGCTTGGTCATTTGGGAGATTTGGGTAGAGAGGTTTTTGATTGCGTTGGCCTGCTCCAATGAATAAACACCCTTACTAGAAGTAGCATCCCTTTCTCCTTCATACCAATCGTCATAGTGCTTTGCGGCCTCCTATATAATACACTCCACTTCATCCTCTCCTTTGTTCATGATTGTACCGCCGGCCGCGGCGTCTAGGCTTGTTCTCCCTTGAGGTGTGAGACCTCCATAGAAAGTGTGAATGATTTGATACTTGGGTATCCCATGGTGTGGACATTGACGTTGAAGTTCTTTGTATCGTTCCCATGCCACACTTAGAGACTCACCACTCTTTTGGCGAAAACCTGGGATCAAAGACTGAGCCTCAGCGGTCTTCTTATGGTTATAAAACTTCCTCAAGAAAGCCGTAGTCACATGGTCCCATGTCGTGAGAGAGTTAGGGGGCACCTTCTTCTCTAGCCATTCTAGACCTCTCCCAATTAGAGAAAATGGAAACATCTTGAGGTGAATATATTCTTGAGTCACTCCATTAGCCTTTATTGTGTCACAATATTTCTCAAACTCTTTTAAGTGCTCATGAGGACTCTCAAACTTTCCACCCGAGAATTGTTTCCTCTCTATCAAAGCAATAAAATTGGGCTTGATTTCGAAATTGTTGGCTTTAGTGGTAGGAGTTAAAATCCCATTTTGTGCTCTAAAGGTTTCGGGAGCCCCAAGACGACTCAAAGGTGTATTCTCTCCCATTTTTGGACCTTCTTCACCCTCGAACTTATAGGTTGAGAAAGGGTTGATTTCTGGACTCGATGATGAGTTTGGGCTATCTAATTCGTCCCTTGAGGGTGAAGAGGGTGGAGTATCTTCTAATTCTCTTACTTCTCTCATCGGGGTGTGAGAATTTCTACTCCTTGCTCTTGCTTCTCTCCGAAGTAGGGACAAAGACCTCTCCAGCTCTAGATCGATGGGAATCAAAGACCTTGAGCGGGTTCGTCCTCTGTTTATACAACAAAGCTAAGAAGAACGTAAGCACTGACAAGTAACAAAAGTAGAATACACTAACAAATAAAAGGTGAGATAGTTTCAAACAAGCAATGAAATAGCAATGAAAGCCGTCTCCCCGGCAACAACGCCAATTTGATAGAGGAATAATCGCGTCGTTAGACAACTACACCTAAATCAAATATAATTTATAACACTCGACTTATCCCAATACAAGTATATGGAAAGAAGAGGGATCGAACCACAGGGAGAAGCATAAACATTGCATTCATCGCTAGACTTTAAGCTATCTTGGGACAGGGAACATGAATGACTAAGAGATTAAACTAAAGGTAAAATGAGTTAAAATCAATATAATTAAACACCAAGAGAAATGGGTAGATGTATATTCCATTTGAACATGCAACAACATGAAAGTAAATTGATAGTGAACTAAGCATGTATGAATATCAAAACTAGGTCCAATCTAACCGCCTTCCGGAGTTAATCGGTTTCTCCTAACATAGCCTCTATGTTTCCACACTAGAACCATATATTAGGAGGTGCAATCAAGGAACAATCGATAATAATGAACCCTAACTAAGTTAACTTCCGTTTCATGTTAGCAAAAGTTCACCTTTAATCAACAAACAATGTGCACTTGCAAGAAGATTAAAGAACATCAAGCATGCAAAGAATTTAATCACAAATAACTTAATCCCAATATTATAAGCACGAACAATTAGCAACTACACCATTCCCACACCCTTGGCTAAGTGACTACTCACAAATCATGTTGAAAACAATATCAATCATCAAATCAATAAGCATCAACATGATCAATAAGCAAAGAAGGAAAATCAAAGTAAATAAACAAAATCAAGTACAAAGGCAAAGAGAAAGAGTAAGAGATTGCTCATTAATTGAAGTTGAAGGTCTACAAAGGATTGATCAAACTCCTTCTTCAAAATCCAAGTCATCAATGAAGAAACCACACTTTCTCTCTCTACCAAATGAAAACTAATAGTGTTTTTCTCTCTAGATTAAGCTAAATGTTGATATGATAAATGATGATTACAAACT